GCGTGGAGAGAGCAGACTCGAGTGAGGAAGTCTTTGCCATAGTCCATGGGAGATACTATACAACAGTGCTAAGGATGAGAAGGCAGGGCAGTGACAGATGTGAGAACATTATCAACACCACTTGCCTTTGGTTATAACTTCACATTAACTGTTTACTGATTGCTAACTGTGACTTTCCATGCTTGCCGTGACTTTCTACAGGGTGAAACTCCAAGCATTGTGTGGAAAGAGAGGTGATATGCTTATGTTTCTCCCTTTGTGCAACATACACAATTATGGAATTTACCTAGGAAATAAATGGAATATATTGATTGTCCCTTTAAGAAAATGTTTTAAATGGGAAAGAAACCATGGCCCCCTCAGGATAACTAACATACTGATGGCTCAGTGTAGGGTCATCAGAGGAGGTTCAGAGTACAATAGGTTCAGATCGCAGCTTTTCCTCTTGCTAGTCATGGATCTTAGCCAAGTTTACTCAAACTCTCAGAGCTGTTGTGGTCAAGAATAATAATGTATAAAAGCATCACAGTGTGTGGTACATAGAAGTTTGATAAACGGAGACCATTATTAGGCATAATGCCCTCCTCGGGGAAAAGGGTAAAAACCTCTAAAAGGAAAATGAAATTTGACTTCAGGATTGGTGGGTAAGATCTAAGAACAGATTTCACCAGCAAATTATATGAGATGCTCTACTTTACACATAACATTTCATTCTTTGCTGTTAGTGTTGCAAGGCTAAATGAAATATGAAGGAAAACGGGCCAGTCTGCTCTCCACTGAGAGATCTGCTGTTTTGGTGACACCATCACAAACGGCAGAGGGGTCTGGCCTGGCGATTCCGGGGTAGCCCCTAGAGCAGTGATGGCGAACCTCTGACACGCGAACTCATTTTTTTGGTTGATTTTTCTTTGTTAAATGGCATTTAAATATTTAAAATAAATATCAAAAATATAAGTCTTTGTTTTACTATGGTTGCAAATATCAAAAAATTTCTGTATGTGACACGGCACCAGAGTTAAGTTAGGGTTTTTCAAAATGCTGACACGCCGAGCTCAAAAGGTTCACCATCACTGCCCTAGAGACTGTGGGGCAGGCTCTGCCTTTTCCAGATTGAGCTAAAATCCCACAGAGGTGGATCAGAAACAGATTGGATGCCAAAGGTGGTGGTGGGGGAACCCATTTAGGACAAGTATCTTCAAATCCCGGCTTACTGGGCTATAAGATAAACCGGCTTGGATTCTTCTCTCTTCCAGCTGACTCTAGAAGACCACTGAGTCTCCTCCTTGTTTACTATGTGTGAAATGGAGAGATGAACGTTGTGTTTTATAGAGCTGATGTGCTCTTCTGGACTGTCATTTATAATACAGCTTGTTGTCTAAATGGCAGCAATTTGCTGTTTATTTCCTTGAAGACATGTAATAATGCAGTGAATTTGGACAGATTAGGGACACCTTTTTTTTAAATCCTCAACCAAGGATATTTTTTCCATTGATTTTTAGACAAATTGAAAGGGTGGGGGGAAGGAGAGGGAAAGAAGATTTTTTTAAGACTTTTTTTTAATCCTCACCTGAGGATATTTTTTCCATTGATTTCTGGAGAGAGGGGAAGAGAGGGAGGAAGAGGAGAGAGAGAGAAACATCGACATGAGAGAGACATAGATTGGTTGCCTCCTGCTGGAGTCCCATGGGGCCAGGGATTAAACTTGCAACCTAGGTGCTCTTGACCAGGAATGTGTCTTTTTGTCCTCAGGCCAATGCCCTAATCACTGAGAAACCAGCCAGGGCAGGACACTGCTCTTTTTTTTCCTGTTCCGGCTCTCATTTACTTCTGGAGGAACACCACACTCTTAAGAGAAAGTATAGCGCTCTCCCTCCTGGGAGCACACCCCTGCCTTTCCCTTCCCTCTCTCACTCTTGCTCCCTCTCCCCCAGGCACATTACCCTTAGCTTCCTCATTCCCAAGCTCCAAGGGCCCTTCCTTTACCCCCATAACTCATTTCCTAAACCCATTTCTTCTAGGAAGTACTTCTTCTACCTCTGTAATTTACCAAATAAATGCTCTCTTACAAAAATAGAGAGAGAAAGAGAGAGAGAGAGAGAGAAAGTATAGTGTAGTGACTAAGAATACAGGTTCTGGTGTGGACAAGTCATGTCTGAATCCCACCAGTTCTATAAGTGAACTAATGTTTACCATGTGATTACTATATTTCAGGCACTATTCTTGGCACTAGGGATACATCATAAACAAAGGAGACAAATTTTCATGGGCCTTATGGGATGGGGAAGGGGACAGTCAATAAGTAATCTATATATATAAAAGCCTAAGTGACCATTATGATCAGACAACCGGCTGGTAGCTATGATTCGCACTGACCACCAGGGGGCAGATGCTCAACGCAAGAGCTGCCCCCTGGTGGTCAGTGCGCTCCAACAGCCAACCTCCTGCGGGTGGCCAACATCCCGCCATCCCTCCCCGGGCTGGCCGGCAAAGTAAACATCATTACATAAAAGGGTACGGTCTTTTTTTTTTTTAGTTTTATTCATTTCAAATGGGCCGGATCCGGCCCATGGGCCGTAGTTTGCCCACGGCTGGGGTAGACACTCAACGTAGGAGCTGCCGAGTGACAGCAACTTTGCAGAGTACCCTCTTGCACTCCAGGACCCCTTGGGGGATGTTGGACTGCCAGTTTCAGTCCAATCTGAGGGACCCCACCAGTGCACGGATTCATGCACCAGGCCTTTAGTAATAAATATTAATAAACAGTATCATAATATGTTAGCAATAATGAGTATATAGAAAAGTTAAGAACAGGGTAAGGGAGACTGGGAGTTTCAGGGATAGCTAGGGTGGGCCTCTTGGAGAAGGGGACACTTGAGTAAAGACCTGAAGGAGACAAGGGAAGGAGCTATGCAGAGGTGGGACCGGCCAGGCATACTGAGGGACCTTAAGGAGGCCAGTGTGGCTAGAGTGGAGTGGGTGGGTGAGGAGAAGAAAACTAGGAGATGAGCAGAGGTAATAGAGGACAAATTACATAAAACCTGTAGAAGTTGAGAACTTTGCTAAGCCTGAGCGGTCCAATATAGTAGCCACTGACTACATGTGACTATTACAATGGGGGGAAAAGAGAACAAGTTCTGTCCACAGTTGTACTACCACATGTCAAGTACTCAACAGCCACATGGTACTGGTTAGTGATAGGACAGTGCAGATGTAGAACATTTCATCACTGCACAAAGTTCTACTGGCCAGTGCTGCTTAAACCTCAGCGTGCTAGTCTGCTAAACACACACACATAATAGTGTCTATCTCATAACATTTCCAAGATTAAAGAAGACACATGAAATATGCCCATCACAGTGCCTGGCATATAACGCCTAAAAAAGACTAACTCATTTCTTTCACGCTTTAGAATTTGAGATTGTTATGGCTGCTCTCATAGCACTTTGGTATGGAAACTACCTATTTTTGTCTTTCTCCCCATCAGATTACAATTGTCTCAAAATAGGGCAGTTTCTTATGCATCTTTGTAATCCCGGCACCTAGCAAAGCACCTGCAAGAGAGATGCTGCACACCCACCTGTTGAGAGGAGGTGTTCTGTTGTCAGGCCTGTTGGCTGACACACCCAGTGCTATTGAGGCCAAAGTTCTTAACCTCAATCTTTTTTTTTTTTTAAATATATTTTACTGATTTTTTACAGAGAGGAAGGGAGAGAGAGAGTCAGAAACATCAATGAGAGAGAAACATCAATGAGCCGCCTCCTGCACATCCCCCACTGGGGATGTGCCCGCAACCCAGGTACATGCTCCCGACCGGAATCGAACCCGGGACCCTTCAATCCGCA